CCCCCAAGTTAACATGCAGTTTTTACAATGTGTGCTATTATTGCTGGCATGCCAAAAGTGCAGTGTATACACTAAAATTCTGTATGTGTGGGGGATGTTAGTGGTTCTCCTCTGCTGCAGGAAAAAACAACATGGTCAAGTGCTGTAAAGAAGATATACACAAGAACTATTCAAAACCACAGACACTGATTTGATCCACTTTACCTGAGATTTATGGCATTGCTTTGGGAACCATTAAAGAAGAAAAAAAAAATCATACATGAAGTTTACTCTGTTAAGAGTCAAGAACCTCATAGACAAAACAGATCATGCCACCCTACAACACATGCATGAGCTATTTTTTTTTCCACTGATTTTTTCCCACTGAAACACAGACAATTTATAAAACACAAAAAACCCAATCAGAACTAGCCTGCAATATTGTCAGTTCTCCAACTGTAGTACTGCAATTTCAGCTTGGCAGTAAGTTGTCCAAGAAAACTCATGCCAAAAGCATCTGATTTTTGGCTGGATAGGGTTAACCATGACATTTCTTCCATCTACACTCTCTCCTTTCTCAAAAGAGGCTGATATGCGAAAATGGAGCAAGTTTTGAGCTGGAGGAATTGTCAAGGCAGCCCACTCCTTTTGCCTCTTTCACCAGAACACCATAGCCCTTTGCCTGCTACACAGCTGGGTGTGCACCCACCACACAACTGGTGTGGAGCCTCAGGAGACCAAAATGCAGTCTGTCACCATGTTTCTGGCATGCATACGTGAGGTGAACAAGGTGGACAGGATTGTGCTACATGTTTAAACCACACAATGAGAACTTGCCCCAGCTCTGTCATTCCCAGTGGAATAAGGTGGTAATGACAGACACTGCATCTTGGTCACATGGGATTCATGTCACAGAGAAGATACCATGGTGATCAACTTTTAAAGGCACCTTTGCCTTATAAAAAGAAAAAAAAAAAAAAATTAGATATTAATGAACTTGAAAATGGGATTTGAATAAAAACAGAATTCCATTCTAACAAATGAACAAAAATGACCGCAGCTTTTCTCCTATTTAGTTTCCAAGAATACAGACATAAAGACATCTCCCATCCAATTAAGGCATCCACTTGAGTCACAAATTGAGAGAAGAACAGGGTTACACTCTGAATAGAAGTTCTGCCTTTAGATCTATATTTGTTCATGAACATCACATTTAGATATTAGTGAAGTCTAACAATTTGAAAGAAATGTGACTCTAAATTGAACTAAAGAGGTAAATTTGCATTAAGAAGAGATAAAAGCTTTAAAAATGCAACACTGTCTGTGGTTACTTTAAGTACTGTTTATGTTCAATCTCCAGCATGCGCCCAACTTCCTCATCCTACAATATGTTAAACAGCATGAAACATCTTAACAGGAATGAAAAAGTCATTAACTAGGAAGATGGGATGGGCAACACATTCTGAAAGTTAGAATTATATGACTTTAGTAACTCCCAACACAGGAATCTTCAGCATACTAGGAAGTTCATTCTTTCTAAATGTGAAAGAACAAGGGACACAGGAGGCAATGGGTTAAAAATTGCAGACCTGGCTCTGCTTACTGATCTGCACAATCAGGGACAAATCTTAAGAACTTTCCACTATTCCTGCTCTTTGTCAAATGTGGTACCATCTTTTTCAGATGCATACTGTAAATGCTGGTTAATCACTGCAGAGGGCTGTACATGTTCAAAGCATTCTATTCTATAATGAAAGAAAAGTTTGTGTACCCCAAAATCTTGCCTCTTTCTCAGGTACTAATTGGTCTTTCAAACATTATCTCTCCTTACAACCTTTCTCTCACTTAACCTGCACCTACTAAGTCTGCAATAGCTCAACAGAATTCAAGTACAATTACAGAGTTAGAGGTGCAAAGATCACACAAAACAGAGACTGTCAAACTTGTGGATGCTCTTAATTAGAAGAAATATAGTCTGCTGTAAAAACCACAGTAATATTTCTGAGCTACACTCTATCAACAACAGCACTAACTGATGTCTTCAAAATTGACAAATTGTCGATTACAGCTGTAAATTTTTATGTGTTCATTTTACCTGATCAAATTGAATTTGAGGATCTTAGAACAATAGTGTGTTGATTTACAAAAGCAAGATTCCACCTACAATGAGAATATAAACTAATTGATGCTCAGCTCAAGAGTAAGCATACTGCCCAATTTGATGCAAGTGAACATGAACGTCTGCATTTCTACACACTAGACCAAGAAGCTCTTAAAAATGTGCAGAGTAAAACTCCTGGTTTATTCAAACACCACAAATGTCCACAAAAATCAAAAAGCATATCTGGAATTTCATTACTAACTTAACAAATATAAAACTGTATTTTGAGGCAGACAATTGAGTCCCTGTGTTGGCAGTGCAATGGACTTTGAAGCTGCACACTTAAATATATTGGTATTCACGAAGATAAAACCTAAGGACAGCATTTATATTTGGACATAATTATTTTTGAAGTTATGTTATTTTCCGAGAGAAACTGGAAATGTGTTGTTTTTATAGACAGAATACATAAGTAGAGAAGTTAAATTCATAAAACAAAAGTCAGTGGCAAAATTTACAACATAAATTGCAGTTTCCTGAGTATTATTCAACTTACCTGAACCAAAAATATAATCAGAAAATAAAAGTTGGCTACTCTTCTGAACTGCTCAAATAAGTTTTTTGGAACAAAATTCCACACTGTATACTGAAGGGAAAAAAGGGAGAGAGAGAACAGTTATGACATACTGAACATTTTTTCCACGAAATTCAGTTCTGCTCCCACTAAACTCTCTTAATCGAAATCTTTTCATTTTCTATCTCCCCTCCCCAAACCTTCTGGTCTTGCCCTACTGCCACACAACTGCTGTATCCAATTTATTATTATTATTAT